TGACCTACAGCGAGAAGCTCCATGACATTGATAGGATAAGACCTCTTGGCTGCAGACCAAAAACCCCAAATCTTCAAGTTGATCAATCTATGCCTCCATTCCTGAAGGTGTGTATCCATGAAATGTGGAAAACCAGATGAGGAGGAGGAAGCAGGACACCCGCCGACATACGAGTCATATTTAACCACCAACACCGATTGACAACACAGGTAGGAGGAAGGGTAAGAAGACCCGATAAAGGATTCCTGTGAAATTCCACTGGTTCTGCAAAGCCCATGAAAGAGCCCATATACGAGTCTGACCTAAGGAGATAAAGCCTAACATGGAAGATTACATCCACAAAAGAGATAGAGCTTAGTAAGCTGTAATCGACCTGAAAACCCATCGAAGGAAGTAGAAAAGAAGGGTAGACCCAAATGAGATGCGTGTAGAAAAAAAAAAGACAAGATATTGGATAGGTTGGAGTAAGGACTTCTCCAATTTGATTAATAGCCCTTTATAGCTGCCACCAGCATCAGTCGATAATGGTAACAGGTGGACTCCTGTTCAGAACAGTAGCCAGTTGACCAAAGAAAGAGGATAACTAAACCCAAGAGCATATGAATGATGAATGAATGCTCTGAATGCCCAACAAAACATGCAGGACCAAAGCAAGTCTGAAGGGCAGTGCACAAAACAGAGAAACCACCAAGTGGAGAATAAACCAAAGAGAAATAAAATAAAATCTTGGAATATGCAAATAATCATTCGCAAGATTCCTCTTTGCCATTGATAAGCCTGGAGAAAAAGACCACCTAAGGGTGAAAAATTATTCTAACAAGGTAAAACGGGGCATATTGAAAATTATAATGAGGAGGGATGAACCTAGTACAGGCCACCAATCCCTGGTTTGGCACAAGGACAACAAATAGCCAGGAATAAGAGCCAGGAGAAAGATGATGAACAGGTGCAAATGCCTTTCGAGACAGAAAATCTTATACCGCCTCAGATAGATGCAGGTTAGTGGCAGGATCCCAAGTCATGGGGAAGGAAAATGGTATTAGGGACAAAGGAGAAAGAGAAAAAAAATAGTAGGACAAGTCCCTCTGATAAAAACTGAAGAACCCATAGAACAGTAGTAAAAGATCGTAAAAGGGTAACAATATAATATAGACAAACACCCACTGGACTGGAAACCTCTGGTGAATCTCCAGTACTGTTGGCAACATGCCCATCAATGTTGAATAAAACAACGAGATGAGAAACCCCTGGAAAGGGGACAGGGATAGGTAGATAAGGATCATGATGAGAAATGAATAGGGGCATGTCGTGGCTTCAATTGTGACAAATGTGCAACCAAAGAGGAAAGAGCCAAATTTTGATGCACAGATAACACGAGATTCCAAATCTCGAATACATGATTGAACACGTATCACAAAGAAAAACACAGAAATCCCAAAAAGAATGAGGCAGCAAACGAACATCCTAACTACGGTGAACAATTTTGAAACATTATTTGTGATACATCCCCACAAATTTGCTCGAAAATAATATCACAAATGACATGTGTAGAGCTTGAGCTTTCATATGAAACTTTTTATTCAGGTCATGTAAATAAATAAATTTCCCACCTGCATTGAGACAACTTGTCAGTAGATGAAACAAAGCCTGAAATGCATCTATTTAGAACAAATTTGATTCTCACTTATAGATAAAATAGTACAAAAACAGTGAATTTTTGAAGTTGGTGATGTCAAGAACTGTAAAATTCAGTTAACCAGATGTTTTTATTTTATTATTTTGTTTCTAAACTTATCAAAATCATAAGTATGTAACCTGAAACTTTAGATTATTTTCTTTCTCAGTCTCATCTGTAGAACTCCCTTTCTTCCTTATATGGAATGGAAATTTCCAAACTTTTTGTTTGTACATCATGTGGCATGAAACAGTGTACATTATTAATGGTTTTGTATTGCTTGTGTGTTTATTTATTTTATTCAAGTAATTGTTTTGTTAGATGGCAACTTGAAATCTAAAAAGAGGAGATAATTGTTTATACTTACAAAGTCTGTGATATAGTACAGAACAAAAGCCTCATTGTGTGCTCTAACCTCTAGTACTTGAGACAGTTTTATACAACAAAAATAAGTTTTATGTATAGGATAGAATAACATAAATACTATATACTTATATTACTTCTAATACTTTAGAATATACAATACCATTTTGTTAACAAAGTGGGCTAATGCATGATGTATTACTCATAACAACTACTTGTACTCAGTCAGAAATCTGCAACTTTCTACCTGCATGATAAGGCCTACATTAATCTTCTGCATATGTTTGTTAGAATGTAAAAGATAAAAACAAATAACAGTGATGTGCAAAAATATAAAACTTAATGCCAAATGCATGTCTCTTTGATAGACAATTAAATATTTTGTGTAACGAACAATATTTTAGAAAGTGTCAGAACAAAACAGAGATACTAAAGAATCTGTGTAAGCTATAGGCCAATGAAGCAAGTAACATTGCTTGTAAGCTAGCAGTTATGGGCATTCTGCATAATGACACAGTATATAATTATGTTATGCACTGGTTTTTATTTCATCATAATTCATAAGTTTACCAAAAAATTAAACTTAAATTTCAAAATGTCTCATTGTTAACATGATGTACGGTTGAAATGTGTGTCTGTTCAAATTTAGAGACTTTATAAGTTTTTTAATTTTTACTTATGAAAAGTCAAAGTTAGCATACCATACAAGGCACCAAAAGGGTTAAAGAGATTATTTTTGAACTGTGTATTTTTCACTGTAAAAGGATATTCTTTGTGTGTGTATGTATATACACATATTACTTCACTGTCTACAAATGTTTTATTTTATCACATATTATTGACATGTAAAGGGTTTTATTTTCCTTACTACTTCATTATGTATTGTATTAACCCTATGGTAGCCACATCCCCAAATTGTAAGGACTTAACGTTGCTATCATTATATTTCATTCCAAACATAAAACTAGTGGATGAAATTGTTTGAAATTTGAAAAGAACTTTCCTAAAAGTATGCAGTTTCAGAAAAATAAAACATTTATTTGATTTTTCATTCTACTTCTAGATAAAAAATACATTTTTTAATGTAGTTATTTTTACTCTGACTCTGAATAGTTCATCTGCAAGATGAATTTTTTATTATGTATAACAATGCTATTTTTTATCTTACAGTTTCACATTTCATTTGCATAATCTCTAGAACCTAATAAATGAATATCAAGTTTCTTTAAGGTAAATTTTATAATTTATTTTACATTTTCTCTACTATATCACTAACTTATCAACATACAGTGCAATGAAATGTTTAAAATTAAGAAATAGAAATATATACATGCCTTTCAACTCTTCATATAGCGTTTTCCTAACTTCTTGTAATATGCATAATTTCACATTACTATCTCTACACTTACGAATTATTTTTAATTTTCCCTTCAAACTCAATGTCTTTTAATATTTATGTTGATACATCAATGTAAAGCCCGTAGAGCTTTATGAAGTTATTTCAGCAGACTCTACACACAGACCCTTTGAAACAACACGATGGAGCTTATATACTTGCTGTGTTTATAAGCTTTCACAATCCAGGTGACAACAAGTTAATCTTATAAAAAATCATTAAACCTTTCCAAATATGCATTTTAAAATTTTTCATTTATTCTGAATTTATGCAGTTTTTGTTTAACACAGACCAGAAAATCATTAAATTGACTTTGTTCTAGCTGTCTTTAATCCTATGTTGTTTTCTAGAGATAATACCTGTTCTGCCTATTGATGGTGTTGCTGTAATGCTGCAAGTTATGAAATAATGTAGATGACAATAGTGTCCTTCACTTATAGGGCTGATGATATTTAGAGGTTATGACTACCCCTCTACAGAATGAGAATTACCAGTCACGAAAGTAGCACTAGTCACTATTAGTAAATCCAGTACTTCCCATTAAGTAACAAATGTTAGATTTAAACATTACTTGGTTGACAGGAAAACCCCTTGAAGGAAGAAAGCCAGTTTATCAATTCACAAGTTCAGTGAGAAGGCTATCATCCAGGATCTAGTTTTGTGTCTATTAACTTAGTTTACATTTTATATTACACAATGTCCATTCTCTTTATTTCTTAGAGTAAATCGATCTCAGTTTAGAAATGCAGCATACTTTCATAATTTATCTTGTCGATCTTCCTATTATACAGCAGACTTACCTAATATATTTTAAGGAAATCAGTTTAAATTAAAAATACCACAAGCATGTGTCTTACTCAACTGTACTATTTGATCTCATAGGAGAAAAGTAATTATAACATTCTAACACTTTAGAATATAGTTGTAAAAGAAGTAAATGGTCTTTACTGCCAGCATAAACATTATTGCTTGTTTGTTGTTAAATGAAAAGTTACACAATAAGTTATCACAAATATCAATACCCAATTTTTAGCATTATAAGCCCTCAGACTTACTGCTGAACTACTTGTGGGAGACAAACAAATGTATCAAGATTATTTTATAAATGAATTGATAGTTAGTTGTATACAATATTTTGTGTTTAGTTTCTTATGACCATCCACCTTTTTTGCTAGGCAAATGCAACTTGATTGATGTGATCTAACTAACTACTCAGTATATTCAAAACATTAAAATATCACAAGAAAAAAGTGCTTACAAATATAATTAAAATGAGAAATTTGCTTCCAACTACTCAAAAAACAGCCATACCTGTTCAACCAAAGTAGTCTGTGTATGTAACAAAAAATAAGTCAATATGATTAAATCTTTGAAGAAACATTTAGAAACTAAATACTAGTTTAATATTAACTAATTTGATAATATTCATAACACTCATAAATTATGCAAGCTGACTCTGTCTTTTAAAAAACAACTAAAAACAAGATACTAAATAAATATAACTAGTATTCATACAAACAATATTAAGATTAAGTAAGTAATAAATACATTCCTATTCATTTTTACCTCAAAAAAGGTTGTTAAAACTTTTATCACTTCTCCCCAAGCAACATGATATTGATACTTTAAAGCAGCTTCTAAATGATGAAAGACCTTTTGGACAAAAGTAACGGCCTCAGATTCATTCATGGCTTCTAACTCCTCCACAGATGGTTTGATGCAATTGTTAATCAATAACTGTAATAGAATAAATTGAAAACTAAGTGCTACTTTCTTAACTTAGTTCTTGGTTCTGAAATTAATAAATCCTTAAATGAACGAAAAGATGAAAAATACTAAATTAATTCAAAAATACCTTTTTTTCCCCTAATATAACTGTCAAATGTAAAAGACATTTACAATTATTTATCCTAACAGCTTCTTTTCATCATATAGTTTCATATTTCATTTGCATAACCTATAGAACCTCATAAATAAATATATTACATTTTTAAGTAAACCTTTATACTTCCTCTCTCACTTTCTGTAGCAAAGGTTGAAAAACATGAAATAAAATCAAAAATACCTTTCTCTTTTCTAGAATGACTGCAGATTGTAACAGACATTTACAATTATTTATCTTAAAATCTTTATGTTTCTCAACTTTTTATAACTACTTTTACTTATTTTTTGTTTTATTATTCTTTGAACCATATCTAACTAGCACAACAAAGCAATAAATCACTCAGTGAGAGATTAGGGTAAACAAATGAAGTTGTATCCTGTGATGACAGCCCACATGCATTACTCAGGGAGAGATCACAAAAACCTTGAGTTTTTTCACTTAAATTTTCTTATTTAACCTAATGAGCTCCTCATTTTTACTTTTTTAGTTACTTTTGTTAATATATATAGTAAAACACTTTAGCACTTACTTTAGACTTGAGGCTTCTTTTACACAGGTGTGTGGTTTGGTAAGCCTATTTTTTTCTCACTATGGTGGTTGTTCAAGAAATAATTCACGTAACTTTCAAATACTTATTTTAGAACAAAAATATATCAGGCACTAGAATAGAAGGTTCCCAAACTCCTATAACTTACTTGGCTTTCTAACTAACCTATAAATAGGTTAAAAATTTCCACTGCTTCTCATAGCAACACCTTTAATCTAACCACATCAAGCTCTCCTTGTGAACTATCAGCTTTGGCAACAAAGTAAAACAATTACCTGCTTTATGAAGTTTAGAGTATGCTCCTTGTATTGGTTATAAACATGTCCAATAGCATCATAAGAGAGAATTATAGATATTTCTAAAAAACTGTAGATATGTGAGAGGGTGTATCATGTGGCTAGAGCAAATACAGTAAAGCAAAAAGAGCTGGAAATTGTATATTCCGATTTGTCAATATCTAAATTGTTTCTAATTGATTTAGCAATCTGAAACCCTAATAAAGGAAGAGAAAAAAATCTATAAATGAAAAGTCAATGTGCCACTGCATGATGTGACTCAGAGAAATACTGACTGAGAATTTACTGAAATATTTCCTTTTGAAATTAAGAAATTATAACTTAAATAATATAAAAACTTGAATTATAAACTATACTTTGATGACAATTGATTGACATACATTGATAATAAAGTAGTTGAATTAAATTTTTAACGTAACTCTGTAAAAAGGTTGTGACATTTGCACTTTGACTTACCCATATCCACAAGATTAAAACAAATTGTTATTGCTATTAGCATTAACTGTACTTACAACACACATCAATCACTTCTTCTGGACTAATGCCTATTGCTGCTAAGTCCAAAAGAACAGATCCAAGGTTGAAGTAAAAAATAAACTCTTTCTATTGGTTATGAACATGTACTTCAAACAGGAACACATGATTTTGAAAACTGCATTGAAAGTTAAAGACAAGTGGGCATGGCTTCTGTCTTCAGTTGGGAAAATTTATTGATAACTCAGCAAATGAAGAAGTTAGATGATTGAAACTGTCTAACTGACCTTGTAATTATTTAAAGATTGTGTTTACAATACTTAGATAATGTAGATGTTATAATAATTAAGTTATACAAACTAAAAGGGAGAGAACTGAGAATACTTATACATCGTGTGACAGCAAAAGGAAAAGCTGAGAATTTTTCAAATATTATATTTTAAAATTAAAAATTAAAACTTAGATAATAAAAAAATTTGAATTATAAGCTACATTCTGATGCTAATTTTATTGATAATAAAGTTCTTCAGCTTTTGAATGTAACTTTAAAATATCATGAAACACACACTTTGATTCACCCAATTCTTGAGACTTATAAGTAGAAAATCCAAGTTTAAAAAATAAATTAGAAATTACAAAAGTATTTTGTTCTAAGTAATAAACAAGCATTTAGGCCAAGGTTAAAATTATTTTTGTTTGCTGTTACTCTAAACTGATTTAAGATGTACGTAGATAGGTAGGTAATTTTTTTTTTTTTCAAACTGGTTGGCAAAAAAATTTTGGAAATACCACTAATTCTGTTATCACCTAAAACATAACATGTTAAACTATGAATTCAGTTAATATCAACATTTATTCTATGAAGAGTTTGTTTGTTTTGAATTTCGGGCAAAGCTACACGAGGGCTATCTGCGCTAGCTGTCCCTAATTTAGCAGTGTAAGACTAGAGGGAAGGTAGCTAGTCATCACCACCCCCGCCAAATCTTAGGCTACTCTTTTAACAACGAATAGTGGGATTGACAATCCCATTATAATGCCCTCACGACTGAAAGGGCGAGCATGTTTGGTGGGACAGGGATTCGAACCCGCAGATTGCGAGTTGAGCTCCATAGCCATCTGGCCATGCCGAGCCACTATGAAGAGAATTACAGAAATTTCAAATTATTTTGTATTACGCATTTGTTGGTCAATATTTACCTCAATAAAAGAAGTTAAATTGACTGTTGCCGACAATGTTACAGTTTGTTCTCCTATTTCATCTCGTTCGCCATGTAAATCTACAAGTACTTCCTTCCAAGTGAATAAGATACCAATCAGAATTAATTTGTTTTGATCCGAATCCTTAATTCATGAGAATATTTTTCGGAGAATGATACACTGAACAGATTTGTGTTCACAATGTTATTGATGTATACTCGTCAATAGTAAATTCTCCCTTGCTAGGTTGGGTATTTATTAGTTTAGTGTGAAGACTACTCTTTTACCAACGAATAGTGGGATTGACTGTCCCATTACAATGCCCTCATGACTAAAATAATTCAGCTGTTGATTGGTAATCAGGTGATGCCCTCCTACATCAAAACTGACTACATGAATTTCCAAAAAAAATATTCTAACCATTATACTGCGATAAAAATTTTAAAAGTCAGCAAATTTTTTGACTGATGGGTTGGTATATCGGCAGAAATTGGTGAAAATAAAAATTTCCCCGGTCATAATGTAAAAAAAATCTCTCAGTCAGTCAGGTTGAAGCAAACAAATATTTTTAAGCCTGGCCTTATTTTAATCTTTTTTTTTCAGTTTCAATTCATCTAGTTCTCCTGCACATTTGAACAAGAGATTATTTTATTTGAAACTACATATAAATTTAATATTATAAAAAAACACTGTTTGATCTCCTCCCAATCTTCTGGTCTTGTAAAGTGAAGGCATAGCCGACGATCATATATTTAGATAATTTAATATGTATAAGCCAATCTTATACATATTTAAAAATAACGAATCTACTTATTTCAACCAAACACACATTTATACTTTTGTTTGGTAAAATGTGGAAATGATGTAAAGTAGCATCAACAGTAAAATCAAAACAGTTAAAATGGGATATGGTTAAAAAACAAACATTAACGTTGATGTTGGACACATGGTCAATACGTATATTTTAACCATATCTCATTTTAACTGTTTTGATCTTAATACTTTTGTTTGCTGAAAATACCTGAAGAATGGCTGTTACTGCCACTAAAACCTCAGTTTTTTCACTCAACCAACACTGTACTACTGTTGAAAATAATTTTGGAGCATGGACTGTAGAAAGATGGAAATCTAACCTGAAAGAAAAAAACACAAAAATTACAAATATTGAAACAATTTTAAACGTTTAAATTTAAACAAAAATGCACATGGAAACACAGGGAAATAAGCATTAATTAATTGGATATTTAAAACATATGAACAACACCAAGATGAGTCAAGAAAATGACATTACAGTCCAAAACTGCAGAAATTATGGCAATATTCTGTATCATACAAAATTAACAGATCCTTGTGAAATTACATTACATTTAATAAATTATAAAATGTACATGTTTAAGCATTATTTATCCTATTATTTCACTATTCACTGAATTTACAATTTTTTTTTTCATCATTTACATACTGCAAAATCTTGTAACTTACCAAAACATTAAAAGAAGTCTGTTGAGTAATAATTCATTTTATTTTCTAGCAGTTTTAAGGTTGTAGTTTTTTTTATTTCTCTTAGTGCTAAAATACAAACTTATCAAGTGTGCAAGAACATGTAAGAAACATGGATTCCTATTATTTGATGGATTGAATAATATTCTCTCCAGATAAGATAAGACCCAAAGAAATTTTCAATGGAAAGCAATAGTATTAAATAATTTGAAGCACTAGAAACTTTGAATTAATTTGATACTTTACAAATTTTTGTAAATATATACCTTTTATACTTAGAACTGCACCAACTTTATTCTCAATGACCCATTTAATTAACTCTAAAGATACTTTGTTTAACACAAGGTTAACTACATTTACATGGATGTTCTAAAATCTAATTTGCCCTTGGAACTAATATCAATTTCATGGCATGGTTGAGCACAACTGCTCGACATCAGACTTCCACTGTAAAAAGATTCTGCAAGAGATAGCAAGGTGAATCTTAAACCACAAAACTTAACAGACGTTCCACAGTTCATGGGCAATGACCCTTAAGACCATTTTTATGTCAACCAAACACACAAAAATCTACTGGCTTTGCACTGGAGGCTTGACAGGTATGTGGTCAAATGGGATTGCTGTAACTCCATTTTTTTCAGCTATCCTTCTCAAAATACCAGTGATTTTAAGATACATTTAAAAATGTTATGAAAAATTGGCTTGAGCCTTCATCAACTTCAAATCCTTGCTTAATATATTTTTAATTGTCAAAGGAGATATATTTGGCTTCATTGTAATAGCTTTTGGTTTTGGAAGATTCTCCTTCGTAACCATAGTCTACTAAGGACAAATATCCCGATTGAAATACATTGTGATTATTGAGTCTGCTGCTGTCTTAAATGATTTACCATATGTGTGTATGTGCGAAAACTCCCATCTTCATAACGTCATGTCCTTTAACCCTATAAATTACAGGTACCCCTGTACTGCACATCACATGATTTTATTTTGTTACATTCAGGATTTAATTAAGCAACCTAATGTATACCAATGAAATTAACATTAAATTTACATTATAGTTCAAAGTTTTATATTATCTACGTTTTAATTCCTTTAGTTCATAGAAACCTTAAAGAAAAAATCTTATACTTCAGTTTGAGACACAAGTCCACAAAATTTTAACTCTTCATCTCTGTAACTTAAATAGTTCTTTCTGTACACTATACTTTTACATATAGACAGAAACTAAGTTAATTGCTCTTTTTATACATTCTTCTTTCAAGCTCCTTATGGTACATTGGGAGGAAAGAAAAATACATTTCATGGAACTCTTGGCAGATGCCATGCCCACTCACTACACATGCAGTTGCAATCTCTCAGCCAATTATACTTGGTTGAGCTAGATGTTTGTAACCAATAGAAAGACCACAGTTATTTTACAATTGGCACAAAGAATTCCACAGAGAACTTTTCAAATGCTCTTAGCATTGTTGTTTCTTGCATACACACTAGTGCTTTAGCATTATTTCTCACCTATAAATATTTTAATTAGGTTTTAGTTTTATATTTTAGTTAATTATGTGTTAGTTATATTTTAAAATGCATACTAGAAAGGTGTAATCCTTTTTTGAAATATAAGCCAAATTGCCTCAGTTTATCAGGCTTGGTGAAGTAGGCAAATGCCCCAATATTCTGACGATAGCTACAGTGTTGCTGCCAAGAACACCCACTGATGTGTGTCACGATAACTAATAATGCTATTGGATAGAAAAGGAAAACAAAACATAAAAAATAAACTTTTTCTGAAAAAATAAAAACTTGCAATTCAATGAAAAAATCAAAGGTATGTACATTTTCTCTATTTTTAATTTAAAACATTTCATTGCACAATACATTGATGATATTGCTTAAAATATTTAGTCTGAGTGCAAATAACTATGACATATATTTCAAAGTTCTTTGGCTGAATGCAGTTGAAACAAGAAATACATTTTGTCAACCACTGACAGGTGCCATACCCACTTTCTGTAGTTAATGTTGAGCTTCAGAAGTTACATGTACTTTCAACACGTATGTGTTTATAGACGTTAGAAAGAGTTCATTTTACACTAATCCAACAGTGGTTATTTTTTAAATTGGCACCAAGTTGCCTTCCTTGGGTAGATGTAACTGCATACACTATTGTTGGCTGCTTTGTTCACAATAGCACTTCAGTTGTTTCTTACCTAAATATGTCATAGTTACACAGACAGTTAAATTGTATTTAGGTTTTATTTTTACATTTTAGTTAATTATGCATTATTTGTGTTTTAAAATTTAAATTTCAAAAGTATAATAATTTTTATAAAATAATGAAAGCATCCCCTCACTCTGTAAGGCTTACATTATCATATATGTACAAAAAGATTTTGCCAGAGGCTAAGGTATCCCTGCCATTCATACCATTCTATCACCCATGAGTACCTGCTGATGTGTGTTGACATAAATAATCAATGATAAAGAATAAGAAAGGAAAATAAAACATTAAAAATAAACTATAAGTGAAAGATAAAGATATGAAATTATTAATATAACCCAAAGAAGATATTTTAAAATTATTCAATGAAAAATTAAAAAGGTGTGTACATATTTCTACTTCATAATTTTAAGTATTTCATTGCACAGTACATTGATGAGAATAGCTAGAGTTAGTGGTATGGTAGAGAAAAAGGAAAATAAAATATAAAAATTTATCTTAAAAACTTTGATATTTATTTAAGATGTTCTAAAGATTATGCAAGTGAAAGATGAAAAACGTAAAATAATAAATAGTATTTTTATACTCAAAATGAAAATCATCTTACATGTGAACTATTCAGAGGCTGAGTGCAAATAATTACATTAAATAATGAATTTTTTTATTAAAAATAGTTGGAAAAAAAATTAAATCTTTTTCCCAAACTAAATGCTTTTATGAAAGTTCTTGTCAAATTTTAAACAATTTTATCCACTGGTTATATTACTGGAACAAAATTTAATGAGAGTTGAATAAAGTGCTTCAGTTTGCAGCACGTCATCATTATAGGGTTAATGATCTTTTGAAAGCCCAAGTATAACACTCTAACAATAGATATAGCCAGAGCAGCATTGAACTGTCAAACAGACATGAATTTACTGTGAACAAAATCTGTAGGTGCTAAATATGCCACCTGGTACTATAGCTTGTACCTACAGCAACACACCAATACATTAGTACATGTAAACATTTCTTATAAGGTGTGATTAACTCTCCATATTTGCTTCAAGAAAGAAGTCAGAAATCAAAATATAAAAGTAATCCATTTATTATTGTTAGGTAAATATTTTGTTTGGTCACTTACTTTTGAAGGTTCTGAAATGCCACAGACATCACTGTTAGCCAAGCAATCAGAGATTGTGCATCATTAATACTTGGTTGGTAGTCATATAGTGCCTATTACACAAATAAAAAAAAACATAAAAAAGACACTAATGCATAGTTTTTGCAAAATGTCTCAACAACAGAAATAGGCTTCAAAATGTAGCTTAAATACTTTCACACTAAGAAACCATACTAGATCATAAAAGGTTTTCTTGTTACATGTTTAAAGTTTCTCAATCTAATATGGATAATTTATATATGATAAGACTTCAAGAAATCTGAGCAAATGTTATTGAATGTTTTATTATTATTATAACACTGACTCACAATAATAACCTATACTGCCAGATCATTTTATTTAAGATCTTTTATTATTTCATTTCTTTTGTAAGGGCAGAGATTGGGAGTAATATATAGTAGAAATATTAGTGTAGTTTTATTTAATTTCTATTTTAGGAATTATAAGAACTTTTAAGGGTAAGTGCCTTCCCACAACTGGCGATAGACAGTGAAGGGCAGTAGCAGTTGAGATGTTGTGAGTGTAAGCACTCAACTGCATACCCTTAAATGATTTTCCATTATTACTGGCTAGTTTAACATCAGCATTTGAATTTTGTCTGGTAGATGGGATATCACTCAACACATTTGAGAGTTATTTCCATAGACAATATTTATTCTGACTTTAAGGTGACCACTGGGATTTACAATGGATTTTGCAAAAAACTTCTTAATGCTTATTTCATATAAATGTTTTTTATAAATACAAGTAGATGTAAGGTCTCACTTCACATAATTTACTACTTGTTTCATCAATTGGAAATATACAGTCTTGAAAATAATTATTAAAATCGTGAAGAAAAAATATAACACACAAATACTGTGCTTAACAAACTTTAAGACTTAATAAAGAAAAAAATTTATATTTTGTGTATGAAAGCATTGTAATGTTTACTGATAATCTGCCAAATGTTGTTAACACATGCTTACTAATTCAAAAGTTATAGCATGAAAACTATAACAAGAGTTAATATAAAGAAGGCTGCAAAACAAATTATTACAGATAAAATAATGAGTTCTAAGCTATCTTTACTCTCCTTGAAAAAATATTCACTTGTTTATAATATTTTTCTTACAATCTTTAGACATATTTCTAGTTACTAGTTTCTGCTACCATCAAGATTACCGGGCATATATAATTGACTGTGATTGGTTCTGATCCAATCATTCTGAAACTGCTCTACCAGTATAAAGCCTATAAAAGTACAGGCAGTCGCACTACACCAGGCTCCCAGGTCTGAAATACCATATGGCAATTTGGTCACTGAGATTAAACTCTACCACAGCATGAAAACACAGTGTAATGCTCTGTGTTAAGCAAACAGCTCACATACAAAATACTTGTGCATTGTGCAACTTACTCACTTTTCTATAGTATTTTCACTATTTAGTTGCCATTACTCATTTTTCACTCTTCTATATGTATCACTTGTGCTTTATAATTATTTTCTTTACTGTGAAAGATTGATAACTAAACTTTGTATTATGAAAACTTACAAATGAAAGCAAAGAAGAATATGTTATAATATGTCAACCACACTACATCTGCTATATCCAGTGCCAATGACTCCTTTTCTATAATATTAGGGCTCATCAAACCAGCTAACTATTAATACTGCATCATCTCATAAACCAGTTTAGTTACTTTATTGCTTTAATTAATTAATTTACTATATATATATATATATATATACTCACTATTACATACATAAAAATAAACCTACTAAGAAAAAATATTAAATGACCTCAGAAACCAAATTCTACTTAATTCTCCATGACATTAAAGTACATATTGATAATATATATATATATATATATATACATATACTGACCATAACAATTTGGGCATTAAGCTCAGCCGTAAGGTTGGTAGGGGAAGATTTACCAGCAAACAGTCCATACAGTGCTTGAAGAGAGCATGATGTCACAAGCTGATAATTGAAAATAAACATTTAACTGTTAGTGCTTCATCATCTCAAAAAATGTTTCAGTTGCTTTGAATTTCATTGTATGCTTCTTTAAATAATTATTATATTTAATATACATTGCACTGAAGCATGTTTAAAGCTAGTTCTTATGTTTGTAACTGATAACTGCATGACTTCAAAGTTACTAGATAAAACCTGAACATATATAATGCACAACTACTTCGCATTAACATCTAACCACTGCTTAACCAGTTACAATATTTCACCTTACTCATAATAAATACATATTGATTTTAATTATAACTTTCCATAAACAATTGATTTCAGTATCTTTCTCTCTTGTCTGTCTTCACTTTTATACAAACAACTACCAAGCTATTTTATACATCAGTAAATTGGAACTACAATTCAAATACACTAATTTGTTTTTCAATAATTAAAAAAAAATTAAATTACTTTCAAGAAGGAATTAATTCAATATCAAATCTCAAATTAACTACAAGAGGAAATAATCAAACAAAAAATATGTTACACGAGTAAGCTTACCATATTTCCCAGTGTCATAACTTTAAGCAATGTTTCACATACAGCTTTCAAGCTTTTATATGGAAAGATCATCAGAATTTCTTTCAAAAGGCATAATATGTGTAATGTTAATGTTGCTCCTGCTCCTGATCCTATAAAACAAATAAGTCAAATCTTTAAGCAGCAAAGCACATTGTAAAGTATCTAACTAAAGAATCTGATAATAATCAAAATATGACTGTATTTTTGGCAGTACTACATGGAAGGATTGCACAAAATTTTGAAGTTAATATTTCTAATGTATAAAACAATACAGTATATATAACCCAGTTACGTTACTAACTCACATCTACTTCTTTGAAAATTAATCAGTCTCTAGAGGTAAAGTACATTTAAGCTGCATACATGCATATCCACATGAAAATCTATTAATTATAAGAAATAATTGTCATTTGGTTTAAAATGTTTCTGAATATTTGTGCATAGGATCATATGTGCTAGCCATCCTTAATTTGAAATTTATAGGCTAGAAAGAAGGCAGCTAGTCAACAGGACCCACCTCCAATTCTTGAACTACCCTTCTCTGACCAAATAGTGGGATTTGACCATCACCGTTATAACACACCTATGACTCAAAGTGCAGAGCATTATTTTTTTTTTGGCAATAGAATTCAAACTTTGGACCAATAAATCCATAGTCTGGCATGCTAGCCACTGACAATACATTTGGATAGTGAGTATTTGCAGTTTAATGTGTGTGAATAATGAATACTCTCAGTGTAAAATATGTGAATAGTGGGTAGTTTCAGTTTAATATGTGAACAAGGCTCAAAATTAGTGGTGGCCAGGTAACCAATGGCCCCAAAAAATGCTTGTGGGACCATAAAAAAAGTGTCTGCTAGGTAACCTGCATGACCCTTTAAAATCAAAAGGACCATTAAAAGTTTGAATCCACATAAACTGATCTAAGCATTTCTTAACCAAGCAGAACTTATGACAAACCATGGATGGACTTTCCCAAATTTATGAACACTCTTCAGTCATGTACAATCCACAAACATCATCACTATGAATGCCCTTGTAACAAATGTTTTGTTCAAAGATGTGTGTGCTAGCTGCACTGGTGTACTAAGTATACAGCAGGTATATCATGCCTAACAATTAGTGTGTACATGTAAGCTATACTTGATGTGTGTGTGTATACATGTCAAACAATGCATGTTCAAGATGATGTGTTCCAGGCAGTTCATAGCCTTTGCAATGACTGTTGCAGCTAAAATATCCCCCCATTTGATTGAGCTATCCCAAAGGACCTATGCTAGTGAGTGGTAAAGCTGCGAACAAAGCTGCTCGCCTTGTTTAGAGGCTAGGAAGTTCAAAGCTCCGTGGCTTTTGAAATCAACACATAAAAATTTTATCATTCTCTGCATTGAGCACCTGGGAAACATTCTAAATAGTAATGAAAGAGGAAATACACCAGTGGAAAGAAATGTTACTGTCAAATGGACAATGTGCTAGAATGCATTAGAAGTGCTTTAAGCAAAGTAGGAGTTCCATGCATAAAACTTGGAGTCTACTCTCGGGTCTGGTATGACCTTGCGATTGTTGGATTAGTATGTTTGCCAGTCATTTTGTGTTTAAACATTTACATTACGCAAGTAATTAAAAACATAAGTTGCACAATGCAAAAAAATGGCTGTAGAATCCAAAGATTAGATCTATTATTCCCAATAAGAGTATTGATCTTTCAGTGATGAAAAATTATGATGTTTTTCAGGCATTTTTGGCCTTATCTGATACAATATATATATTTTTTGGTTTATGTTTTGAGAGATATGTTTTCATTAAAAAAAATTAAAAACTCCAAAATAATGGAATTTCCATAAATTTTGTGCAACGACCCAATTTGAGTTTCATTAAATGCTTGTCCAATCAATAGGGCTAGATACCCAGCTATTTGAACTTCTGGCAAGTAAACACTGGATAACTGAGTTGATGGTAGATTAGACTATCAGTCTATGTCAAAACTCAACTTCATTCGATGCACCCTCAACCTCGGTAAAATCGGCTTATAGTGATAAAGCATGATGCACTGAATTGCGTTTTGACTAAACTCTAGCTCTAGATTTTGACCTCTAGATCTATTTACAATTGTTTAAGGAATAACATTATAGTTTGCAATTTATAATCAGAAAAAATGGTGTCAAGTCAGTGTTTATCAGTATTTTTATTAGTTTTCACAAGTTCAGGTTTAAATTCGACTGAATTGAAATATGGAGTTACAAGTTGCTCGTAAATCCTTTATCTTTGTAATTTATGATCAAAACAGTACCTAGACTAAAATCTAAAGTCTAGTTTTCAATATACCTAAATCTATACTGTACAAGGAAGTAGACTAATAAGATATGCATATAACTTGCAAGAAGTCATGAACGAAGTTAAGAGTCTACCAAACAGATCTCGACTAGCAAAGTAGCTGATTGGGATGGAAAGACCATGTCGGATTCATAACACTTTTGCCGACAAGAGTAGAACTTGTAAAATAACGAGAAATTTATTTGTGCATTCTACTTTGAATTCATGTGGTCAATATTCCCATATTTTTCATGACTATAGATTCAAATCACATCTTAACACGTTGGTTGGAAATACGAAAAATAGATTTAGTGCATTTCCAAACATCTTTTGGGTAAAGTCACTGATTTTGAGTTTCTATTAACATAAGCATGTATCGAAACATGATTGTGACATATTACCTTTTGGAGGGAAGGAGCTTGTTTCCATGATTGATCAATTTGGAGAGCTTTATGTCAATGAGCACAGTGTGTTCTATTCTCTACCTTCTGTGCATGATTCAACTCAGCAATCAATCTCCCAGCAAACTACTGTATAAAGAAGTAATTTCTGAATAACGTATTGAAACACATTTGGAAACGGCCTTCCAAAATACTGATTATAGCCCAAATGTTTTTTATATGAACGTGGTCTTGAATCAAGACTCAGATTACTTTTGAATCATACTTCTATTCAGACTGGCTAGCTGAATAAGTGGATATAGCCTACATGCATAAGACACTGTTGTTTATTTTTTCTACTGTACATATCTTATGCTTATGTGATTGTATTTAAATCAAAAAAACAAAAAAACATTCCAAAGTTGTGAAATGAAACACACAACAGTTACAATTTATTCTGCTGGAATCATAATTTGTTGGGAATGGTATTCAGATCACCCTGCTTTCTCAAAAGTTTAAAGAGGTTTTTGTTTTCACTCATCCCTCATTAAAATTCTGCTGCCAGATGGGTATGTCATTTCCATATACTATCCTGCCTCTGAAAAGATAACTGCTGCATAAGCAAAATGAAATTATATTATGGATACAAAACATCAAAATAAAAATCGTAAGCACAGAAATCTGGTGTGTGTTAAGAACCTTTGCTTTATTTCTTTACTTTTTTATGTGCAAGTTGAAGTTCTAATTTTATTCCTTTTATGTGTTACAGGTCTTTAGACTGAAAGAATTGAATTGGAAAAAAAAGAATAAGGGAAGCAAAGTTCATCCCTTTGATCAGCGATGGTTCAACATCCATGACAGGGAGAGAAACTGTGTATGTTCAGTATGCCATCAATGGAGCAGTGGCTACCGATCTTGTTCCTGTGACAAATGTTGCAACTGCTGATGATTCTTCACAGCCTTGATGAGAGGTTTGGCATTGACCAGACCCGTCTTCAGAGGAAGCTTGAGGGGTTCAGATCAGATGGGGCAGCAGTCATGCTCGGGAGGAATCAAGGAATAGCTGCAAACCTGAAACAGATCAGTCCACCTCTGTTGGCCATACACAGCACTGCTCATTCTCTTGAACTCGTGTACAAGGATGCAATGAAGGGCATTCCCTTATGTGTCACACAAAGTTCATTCCTCCTCAACACCTATCAGTTATACAAGAACAGTCTGAAAAACAGGAATGGATTGAAATTAGCAGTAGAGACAGTAAGGGAAGCTGTAGCGGTACCTACAAGAGCTGGATGAACTAGATGGCTGCCTCATCTGGAAACTGCATTGAAGCAGATAATAAGAGGATACAGAACCTTGGTTTCCCACCTACACGAGGTAACTTTTAACTGGATCAAGGTGATGATGTTAAATTGAACTAGGATCATTTAATCAAAAACTGAATTGTAAAATTTAGCATAATAGCTTTTATAATCAGAACTGATTCAAACAGTTTGAATTACAAAACATAAATGACTAATTTCATAAAATAGTTTTGGATGTTACAGACTATGCCATTACATGTTTTCTGTTGTTTTTTGTTTTGTTTTTTTAATAACTGTGACTCGCATTACAATCAGTCTCTTAACACTCCATTCTATTTATTTCCATCCTTGAAATACATTGAAGCACAACCAGGGTATTCAACTGATGCCAAAGCCAAAGGCTTCTTGAAGCTCCTAAAGCAGAAGTACATGAGCAAGTTCTTCCACTTTATGTTTGATGTGGGGATAACATTGTCATACATGTCACTCACTTCACAGAAAGTGAATTCAACTGTAGCAGATGTCAATGCCTCCATCAATGCATCTCTTACCACTCTTCAGAAGTACAAGACCAGGTAAGTTCATATACGTTTCTCTTCTTTTGAGAGGAAAATGTAAGATGCAATTGCATTCTATGTCACAATTTTTAATGAAGATTTTAGCCTCACTCAGAAAAAGTAAAAAGCATGTATAATAAATTTGCTAAGAACAATCTCACATCATAATCCAGACCAGACAGACAGTTTCTGTTCATTAATGTGACAAACTTCTAATCTAATCAGAAACTACTTAGGATTAAATTTCATGTATTCCAGTCTGAAACATTGTGTTATGAGAATATCATGCTTGTACTTTCATGTTTTTTATATTTTTCTTCTTTCCCTGTACTTATTTTTTTCTAAATGGAAAACAACACCTCATCTACAGGGTCTTAAGGGTGGTGACTTCAAGGATGAGGAGTGATAGGAACCAGAGATATTGAAGGTGCCATGACATCTGCGCTAGATCAGCTTGAAGGGAGCCATCATGGACAATTTGAAGACATTATCAATGGTGTCTAAGAGGCAATGCAGGTTGTTAGCTTTAACTTCTGGCCAGAAGACGACGAATGAG